GGAACACTGAGCCTGGATCAGCAAGAGGCTGTCAAATCAAAAACCCACTAAAACAGGTAGCTCAAGATAACTACGTGATAAAAAGGAAGAAATAGACCAACAATGTGATTTGCTCAAAAGAAAAATATGCTGCCGCCACAAGCCCCAGGAGAACAGGGAACCTTGGACAAAAAAAAAAAAAAGACCACAAAAGACCGGGCAGTCTAAAAATGAAGGCTCAAACCATACACTTAAAACCCAGAAGAAAGCTCCTTCTGCTGCGGCTAGGGAATTCCCCACTGCAGTTGCACACGAGCAAAGGGGCAGGATGCTGTGACATCATTAACCATATATAGCCACATGACATTGACCTAATGTCACAGTCCAAGGACCGGGGCACACTAAGTGACTTCCAAGTAGTGAGCAAAAATGGTGCCTGGGATGCAGATCACTGAGAACATAGGGAGTAGGTGTCTGTTACCAGGAACACACTAGAGATGCAGAATCTAAGAGGGGGCCGGGTCTTCTACAGAGCCTCTAATGGAGGATGATTGCACTGCCGGACACCTTCCAGGTTGCGGCCCTCTAGCACACCCGTACAGACAGTTGCAGCACTGAGTTTCAGGATTCACAGGCAAGCAGGGGTGAAGCAAGTATACACAATGCAGGTCAGGAGTACAGGATATGTAGTACACAAAGGAAGAAGTCAATACATAAAAGTAATAAGAGTGCTGGTACACAGCAGAGCACCTGTGATGGAACAGCTGGGAGGACACTCAGGAGAAGCAGGTTGAAAGTACAACATCCACAGAAGCTGAGCTGAGACTTCCAAGTAATCACAGATGTTAGAGATCAAAGTAGCTGGAGAAACAATCCACTTGCTGGGAGTGCAGGATCACAGGCAGCAGCAATGCGATTAAGTAAAGGTTTGCAGGGAACTTAGGAACAAGTACAAAGCAACAGAAAGGGGTCCAGCTATAGTAAGTAGACATCTTGCTTGAACACGAGCAACAAGCGAGCTGGACTTTTAACAGGGAGGCTCAGAGCAGATTGGCAGGAAGCTGAACAGCTCGGACAGGTGGCAAAACCCATCGCCAGATCATCACACAGGGAAGTGTGACACCTGATATGGCAATTTGGCCTAATAAGGTCAATGATGTTGACACAATCATCCTGCCTCTCTGTTTATGTATGGCTGCAGGGCAGGGAAGGCTTGGCCTGCAGCTGATTGGGTGGGTGGACCAGTCTCCCTTCCGGGTTCGGAGCAGCTTTCTTTGTCTCAGTGAAGACATGCTGCTTCTACACAGTTATAATGACACTTGACCCAATGGAAATCCATGTGGCGTTTCCTGAGCAGGAGCAGCAGCGGGGTGACAATTTTTAACATCTGCTTTGCTTAGCCAGAAGCGGAGCAGCGAGACACGTGCAGACGGGAGCGTCATCGCTGGAGCGAAATAAGTGCTGCGATTGGTGTGGTATCGAGCAGTTGACTGGTGATCGGAGTGGATCGAAGGGTGATCGGTGAGGGATGATCGTGCTGCTGCAGCAGTCAGAGGAGTGAATCTGCCAGGGTGTGCTGTGCTGCAATCAAAGGGTAAATGGAACGGAGCAATCAAGGCAGAGCAACTGGGGTGGAGTGGTGGTGGGGTGG